AAGGGCTGTCAAGCACTGGAAGGGGCTGCCCAGGGAAGTGGTGGAGTCCCCATCCCTGGAGGTATTTAAAAGACCGGTAGATGAGGTGCTTAGGGACATGGTTTAGTAGTGGACAGGTATGGTTGGACTTGATGATCCTAAAGGTCTTTTCCAACCTAAACAATTCTATGATTCAGTGCACCCCACGGGACTCTGGTTGCCTTGCCGCTATTAAAGCCAGTTTGGAGCTGGGGCGCCAGGTCCCCAGTTCAGCACGGCCCCTCCTTCTCTCCCTGAGACCGAGCTCCTTGTCCCTGGGAGCCCTGCGCCTTGAGGAGTTTGCTCCAGCCTGTGATTCTGAAATCCCCCTGCCTAGAAGCAAAGGTCCTCCTGTGGCCGGCCTCCTGTGGCCAACCCATCCCAGCACTCGAGTCCAGGGCCAGGATTTCATTTTTCATACACAACACGTCCCTTTTCCAGCTTCAGTCCACAAACGCTGTACAACAGAGTATCCCCAACTAGTAAAGAAACCTCTACCCACTGCCACCAGGGATAAAAAGTGGGTGGTTTTTGTAGTGCTTCATCGTGCAGCTCCTGCTGCTTTCCAAGGCATTCAATTATATGAAGGCCTTGCAAACAGAAAGCGGTGTGTCCCAGCTCACCTGGCAACTCGGTGACAGCAGGGGGAGAAGCCAGTGCACGCCCAGTACAATCAATTAAACCGGCTGCCCGAGTCCCACTGGCTGCTGCAGTGTTTCCACAATAAAGAAAAGCACCCAAAAAAAATGCGGAGAAGGGAAAAAAGCATCCTCACCTTTTCACAGGAAGCAAAATCTACTAAAGCAAGAGCAGGTTAAACTCTCTTTTGCTTTAAATGGGAATTTGGGCAGGACGTTCATCTGAAGCGTTGCACGGGCCTCTGCTGTGAGGAGCAGAAATTTTTTGTATTGCCACCTGCTACCTACAGATACTATAAGCACTCTTCCCCAGTGCAGGCAATGGGAACGTCACAGCAGGGTTTTAGGACATCCTGGCAGCTATCTGCAACACCGGTCCCCTGTGGACTACAGCAGAACAATTTCACCTGGAGTCTGTCTGTATGCACAAACCTCTCACACAGACAATGCAAAAAAACCAATTTTGTCTTCCAAGTCTGTTCAGCTTCTCACTTTATAGCATCACTGTAACATCACAATATTCAAATGTAAAGCGATGCTTCTGCTCGAAGTGTGTTCCTTTGTGTAAACAACGACTCAGTAATACGACGTAGCTGTTTGAAACTACTTTTAATAAAAACATATATGTGGCTTTTGATTGGCAGTTGTAAGATTATCACTGTAATTAAGTGTACAGCTTGCAAAGATGTACAAACACCATTATTTACTTGCTCTAAAGGCAAAGTGCATGTTCAATATTGGATTTTTTTTTCTTCAGGACTCAGCACCAACAAGGGTGAGTGGATGCCTGAGAATAACTGAAAACTCTACTGGCGAGAGAGGTTATGCTTCCAAGACAGAGTATTTTAAATAAATCCTCACAGCCAGCCAGCCACTTGGTGCTTTATGGTTGTTGTGGTTTAACCCAGCAGGCAGCTCAACACCACACAACCATTCACTCATTCCCCCCCAGCAGCTGACCTGCCCCCCCCCAGCCAATTTCCCCCCAGGTTTTTTCTTCAGTATGACGCCATGTTATGGAATACCCCTTTGGCTGGTTTGGGTCCTGGCTGTGTCCCCTCCCAGCTTCTTGTGTATCTCCAGCCTTCTCAGCCAGTAGAGCACGAGAAGCTGAAAAGTCCTTGACTTCGTGTAAGCACTGCTCAGCAACAACTAAAACATCAGTGTGTTTTCAACATTATTCTCATCCTAAATCCAAAACACAGCACTATGCCAGCTACTAGGAAGAAAATTAACTCTGTCCCGGCCAAAACCAGGACAATGGTGAATACTGGAAATACGAACATGCATAGATACACTGGCCTACCCTCCACCTCTTACTTCAGGCCACAGATAAGACAGAGCAGCTCCCTCTCCTACCAGTCCCCTCTGCCTTATGTAAGAAGAGGTCAGGGCTATTCTCACAGTTCTTGCCTACACTTCTGCATACCTGAATTTGAAATGTGAGTATTGAAATAACATGTTCTAAAGTATTTGCTTATCCTGGCCTCATTGTGTTGGTAAGTTGAAGACATTTAAATACATGGATAGAAAAATAACCACTTAGTTTAAGAAACCTAGATGTAAAGAAGAGTCAAGAATTGTTCTATTAATTCTCACATGTAAAAGGCACTAAAATTTTCCAGACTATTAAGAATATTCTACCTGAAAGTAATAAGGTATTCAGGATATGCCTGAATGTCATTAAATATGACAAACATTGTTGGCTTATTCATATTATCAACCACGCTGTCATACAGGTTATTGGGATCTTTTGGGTCTTTTTCTGGTGGCATGAATAGTCCTGGTTTCCCAGCACAGTACTGCCCAGTAAGAACCCGAGCCAAATACATATATCTTCTGCCATTCTTATCTTGTACGGAATAAGGATCCCGAGCAGAATAACTTGCATCAACAGCAAAGTAGGTTCCATTTCCCAGGACTGCAGCTGTTTGGAAATACAAAGTTTTCAAATATAGTTAGTGTTCTTATTCCCATAAGAATCTCTAAAGCTCTCCTGGTTTTTTTACTCTGCAGAAGTTATAAATTCTATCAGAATCAAATATGAATCCACTTAGATGTTAGGTAAGTATCAACACCCAGGATTTGTCTGCCCTTTCCTATGGGGAAAAGGGTTCACCTCTCTGTTTAGCCTGCAATCCATCAAACTGCAAATCTTTAGAGCCTTTTCAACTTAAACTGACTATATAATTGTAATTACAGTTTTCCAGTTACACTTCTCAGCAAGAAGTTAGGGGAATCACATTTCTTTGTCCGAGACAGATGATTTCTTTCTGACATTGGTAGAAAGCTGTTCAGGCCAGACAGGCCCTTCCTATCTGGCTGCTCAGATGTTTGGATATTTCTGCATGGCTATCCAGCCTGATAGAAGGGAAGAGTGCCTTTCCTATCATAAGTAGTGGCTGAGATGGAGAGGTGGACATCAATGCTCACAGAGAGAGCACATGGGGATCTAGAGCTCTTGCTTCCTGAGTAAATCCAACCTCCTGGCACTACCAAAGAGCAGGAAAGCAAGACTACATCTTTGGTCACGTTTTAAAACGGAACTATGGCTGCCATTTCTATCTGTGCACAGCCTGACACATTTTGTGTGTGTTTGGCTTAATTTTCTCAAGAAAATACCAACATAAGTACCTCTAGAGGATCCAGAGAGAAAAATGTGTACTTTTGGATCCTGACCACACTGAAGCGTCAACTAGATCTGAGTTAAGCTGTCCAACTTGCTCAAGATCAAGTCAGCCCTAGGCACGTACAATTATGTCTTAAGGACAAAAACATTAAGAACAGAAAGTAAGGACTTTTGAAGTAAGGTTGCAGGACCTCTAGGAGCAACTGGCAGCTCAATTCAACCCAAGTTCCACTTCTTTGGATACCATCCTTTATCTTTGCATGCTACCAAATAATAAACATAACAGGACTGTACTAGAGGAACTAGACAAGACAGTCTTTGAACTAACACACAAAGACTTTCTGCTAAATATTTAATAGTTATCCCTAACTAAGGGGAAGGATTAATTAATGAATTTCAACTTATTCCATTTGCATAAAAGTGGTAGGGGAGCGGGATCTTCTGATTGCTTGTGCTATCCTCATCTTCGGAGGCAACAGGAAAAGTATCTGCACCTCTACTTTGCTACCTGCCTTTGCCTAAGAAAAGAGGAGATACCAGCAGCTAGTGGTTGGTATCTCAGCTGAGGATGTTGAACAGCAGTCCTTGTTCCTTTCTGTAGGCAGATCATACAAAACATTTCTCAAAAGCTGCCCAGGCTTGATTTCAGAATAGGCAAGCTTTTTCTGATACCCTCCAGATGGTGGCATTTGTCAACAAGCGATTAACTGAACAGGCTAATTCCTCTGTCCATATAGATTGTGCCTTGGAGTTTTTTTTATTATTTGGTCCTCCAACTTTATTCAGTCTTCATGCTGTCCTGACAGCACTATAACATTGACATTCCCCAGCACCTCAAACATGTTTAGGAAATCAAATGCTTTGGATAAGGACTCACCATTCTTTCCAGCAAACCCACGATTAAATCCATTGTAGTTGATTGTGGTCAATGAGGATGCAACTGTCCCATGAAATAGCAACTTCTCATTATTTTGATTTTTATTCTTTTCACAGAGATGTTGTTTTTTTATTTGGTATGTCTTCCAGAGGAAGCGATTTTGTATTCTTTTAATCTGCAAAGTTACAAAATAGAACCAGTAGGGACCAATATGTATCATGGCAGGAAAGCATTAAAACCAACCCAAACTGAAAGAATGACAGTAATTTTCACTACACCCTGTTAATGTGTGGTTTGGGTTGGGGAATTGAATCTGTGAGCCTCCTGAAAAATCAGAAACCAAAGTAGCTTACAAGAGGTTTTCAAGCTTGGTAATTTTTGGCGTACATTTGTCTTGCCTACTATACCAGGTACACAGGCAATCATGGTAGCTGTGCGTTGCCATTTTTAGAAACAGGCTGTTGTACCACTGCTAGAGGCAATGATGTAAGATGCCTTCTGTACATCCTAATCATCTTTACTGATGATTTTCTCACTAAAGCGTAGGCTGTAGCAATAGCATTACACTGAATTTAAGCTTTTCCTCTAGATCTCAGCTTGGAAGTCAAAATTACTTCCTTTACTGTGTAGCTTAGCAACCTATAGGAAACTCTATAAAAATAAATTGGTGGGAAGATAGATGTTGCTAGCTTCCTATACCAACAATGCAAATATAGCTCAGGGGGAAACAGTGTATCTGTGCCAAAGTATAGTCTTAAAGGCACTGCTGTGACAGCTTCCATTTTCAATGGAAAAAACTTCATGTCATTACCTGATTTTTTCCATTGTACGCTACTATTTTGTTCTATTTGTGTCTTAGTGACCATGCTCATTGAATGTCATGATGGAAGAAAATTTTTCAAACACATATTCTCACTCTTCATTTAATTGTGTTTTCTCCTATCTGTCACTCCTCTTGATTCTGGATAATTGCATCTTCTCCCTGGCAATGAAGTCTCTGTGCACTGTGTCACAGACTTTTCAATAAGCAGAATCAAATCTTGACACCTTGGTTAAAACCAACTGGCTAGCCTGAAAGGCTCTGGGACTGACAGGGAAGAAGTAGTAAAATAGTAAAAAGCTTTATGGCCAGTCTGCAAGGACTTTGTATTTTCCTTTGTATTCTGAATGCGTTTGCTCATGCTTCCATTTCAATATAGAATTTCCTAATTGGAAATACCACATTAACTAGTGAGTACCACATTAGTTGAACATAGTCAGCCTGAAGACTGATGGTCACTGGTTTTGCATTATTAGAAAGCAGAAATGGCAGGGCAACTCTTAGGAAATTTGATTTGATTTATATCCACCCTATACAGTGCTGGGGAGACTGACATATGAAAGGTGTATTAGGTTGCAGATACCTTACAAACAAATATTTAGAAAGTGTATTAATGTTTTTAGCCCAAGAATTCTTTTTTTTCCCCCCCCATATGATTTCACCTTTTCTATGACAAAGTTGGGACAGGTTTTCTTAAATTTGTTCTGAACTTCCAGATATTCTGGATGTGATGGATTGAGATTCACCAGTTTGACCCATTTCCCTTGCATGTCTTCCCACTGCGCAGGGAGCTCTGTTGACTGCTGATCTGCAAAACAGAGACTGTATTATCATCACAGATATCTAGCTCAGTTTTTTAGGCATGTATTACAAACCAACTGCATATAGAGGGCTGAGAGGACAGTACCTTAACGCAATGCTTTATTCCAAGAATACTCTCTCTCTTCAATACATCACTGGCTCTGTAATGCACTATTAAGACTTTACATTTTCTCTAGTCTAGTTATCCCCCACTAAAACAAGGTTGAAAACCACAGAAGAATTTTACACGTCCTTCATATACCACTTCCTTTGTCAGACATAAGCATGGAATCTATGCTCACTAGTCACATATGTATGGGTAATATTTGTATTTGAAGGAGATGTTCTGATTTCAGTCATACCTGCCACTAATTATGAAACTAAAACTGCTGGCTATGGCATGCCCAGGGGACCGGGGCGGGGCGGGAAAGGAAAAAGCTACAGAATAGCTTACTAGTTTGGAATACCTGGTTTGCATTTATCAGAATTATTGTTCAGTAATCACTATTAAAGGGGGGTTTATTAACAAAGCTGTAATTTACCTTCATTCTTTGGCACACGTTGAATGGTTATAGTTTTTCCTTGGTCATCATTAGCCTGTAGAGTATTCAGATCCACCCTGTAGTTCTTCCTGTTAATTTTGACAGTAAGATCTGGTTTTTTAGCTATTTTGGCATCTTCCAGCTGCATATTTGTCAGTTTATCAAAAGCAACAAAGTTCTCGTTGCTCCCTGGATATCTCCATTCTACCAGGTTATAATAAAGTTCTGCCTTGAATTCTTCTTCTTTAGTATCCTTTATTTTTTGGATCATTTTTTTAATTTCCTCAGAAACAGTACAGACATCCCTGCTAATACCAGAAATTTTAATGCAAGGCGGGGAAGTTTTATTTTCAAGATGAATGGCAACACGATTTCTTCTCTGGAGATCTACCAAAGTGTTAATTTCCCTCTCATCAAAATTTTCAATTAGTTCATCTGAAATACTGGTTTCAAACTGTTCCTTTAAAATTAAATTCTTTATCCAAGACTCAGTTGCATCCACATTTTTCTGGCTTTCTCCACAAATTTGAAGTGTGGCTAAATCAACTTTCTCCTCCAAAACCACAGGCTTTTTCTTCCCAGTGGGTTTTTTTCCCCAAAAAAATGCTGTGAAGAAATATATTTTAACTATTAGTTTTAAATAAAAGATCTTTAGTTTGATGTGCCTATGCACATGGAAAACCCATCTACTTACATTTAAGCAGAGACATCCATGAATCCTTTGTGGATGAATCTGAGTCTTCTCTTTTCTTCATGCTTTCGTAAAAGTCTCTGAGCATATTTGCCTGGAAGATGACGATTTTAATTTTTTTCAAATGCTGTACTGATCTTTTGCTTGCAAATTCCTCTATAGCATCCAACATGTTATCAGCTACCTTTGCTGGACTCTGTTGTGCCTGACCTAAAGAAAAATAAAAGGCACATATCAGTGAACAGTACTTAAATCAAGGTGGCATCCAGAAAACAGGAACATGTCCCCAGCTCATACAACTTCTGTCCCTCTCTCTTCCCCCATTATGCTTTCTGGCCAAAGCCCCAGGCTTAGCATCAGCTTTACATGTAAGCCTGTGAGCTCCAGGAGTTTACACACTACACAAACCTGGGAAGCCCTTCTGGGATTCTCCCCTCCATTTACTTTGAGCACTTCAGCCTTAGCGTCCCTGATATTTTTAAACCACAAATTTACTAACTCTATTCCCATCTTTAGACCAGGTACAAAAATCAAGCCAAATCAAAATCAACAGAAGATTTTGACACAAGCCTAGCATATTTCAACATACAAACAGGAACATGGAGCTCAAAACAACTGCTCTCATTCCCCCACCATAAGCCTGAAGTGGAACCTAAAGCTTGTCCTGAAACATTGGTAGGACCTCTGCCAATCTCAGTCATGGCATCCCTTGGACAGCTGTCATGACATCTGCACACAGATGATATTGGCAGTCCAGGGGACCTGCTGTAACTATTACTGTGGAGTCCAAACACTGACCCATGCACCAGCTTCTACCCTAACCTGGCATGCTTCGCAAGGACCAGCTCACAGTTTCTTTTTCCAGTCAAGAGGAGCCCTGGTTTGAGAAGGATACCCTGCTTTCTTCAAGCCCTGCTCCCCAAAATAACCTGAAGCTTAAGCCAAATAAGCTAGCCTGCCTCTAGCCCTCCACTAGAGTGGGTAGGGTGAAACAAGACCTATAAAAGGTGTGAACTGCAGGTATCCTGTACCCAGCCCACAATTTCCGTAGTCAGCCAGGCAAGGTTTTGGTCTCAGGACAACTCCAGCTTTCTTTGCCTACAAACCCCAAGCCCAGCCCTTCTGTGGGGCTGAAATCCCAAAGCAAGGTCTATGGGATGTCTGAAGAAAGGTGCAGGATGGCCAGCTGAGATACACGGTCTGGTTTGGGGCAGAACATCTTTTATGGAGCAAAACCTTTTCCTTAGGTGTTCTTGCTCAGTTGATATTAACTGTAATATTTATACTTTAAAAGCAGCAGCATTTTTGAGGTGTGCAGGTGGTGTCTGAACCACAATGAACTTTCACAAATCACAGCTTACAGAGTTTCTTGTACAAGTCTACTGTTACCCATATCAGAGGTATTAACTTTGTCCCAGTTTCTGAACCACCCCCATCACAGCCTGCATTGCTTTCCCAAGAAAAAGCAAACCTGTTCCAATTGCTGGGAAGGCGACAGATTTGTACATGTTTAGCTCACATTCATGAAGGACTTTGGAAACCTGACTCTTCACGTTGTTATTATGAATCAAGTGGATGATCTTACTGCAGGACAGTTTTCCACCTTGTGTAGTAATAAAGCCACATTGAGACTGCTCAGCTGGAAAAGATAAAGAAGGAGACATAACATTTTCAAAGTGACTACCTCTTCTGATAAGACAGCCAATTGTGTTGATGCTAGAGTACACTGGAGTAATACATACTAGAAGAGAAGTGGAAAAAGTGGAAAGAAATCCACTGTGAGCTGTATTATCCTGGTTTTAGTTGATTCTGGTTTTCTCTGTAAGCAGTCTGATTGCAGAATTTCTTTGATAAAGTAATTCAAGTAATTGTGTGTTTTCTAATTCCCTGAGATCTCTGCTACAAAGTAGTATCCTATTAAGTACAACTTAAGAATTTATGTTGAATTTAAATACAGGTCACTTATTTAAAAGCATGCCAGTGGAATGTGCACAATTCAGATATATGAGAAATCCTTTCTTATGCCCCTTACTCCTTGAAACCTAAAACTGCAGAAGAGCTGAATAGTTAAAATAGTATCATTAGGATAATGATAATAGTATCATTAGGATAATGACCAGCTGATCCAAGAAGCATGGTATGGAATCTTTAAAAATATGTTTGTGTTTTTTCAGAGCACTCACGTTTGATAACAAACACCTCAAAATGGAGTCATATTGTGAGGATGAATGGATTGATGAACACAGGGTTACATACCACTTCACTGAGCACAAAGGTAGCGACTGACTGCAAGATGTTCTGCACGCACTGAGATCAGGCTGATGAACAGGAAAAGCCTGCAGTGCCAAGGGCTGGGAAAATATCCCAGAAACTCCATCTTGAAAGTTAATCGTGTATTTGTAAATATAAGCCCAGACTTGCCATTAGCTTTTAAAAGCCAGTCCTGAACATTGCTTATGCCAAAAGACAGCCTTCCGCCACTTAGTTCAGTTTCAGAACTTCAGCTCTCCTGTAGCTGACAATAGGCGAGCTTAAAAATTATGCTCAAGTCAATGGGACTGTTTTGTTCTTAAATCAGGAACATGCACGAGTAATTTCAGGGGTAAAGAACTTAAATCAGATTAATTTCCACGCATTTATTAGCATCAGAAAACCGTATCCATCTTCTGTTCAGCTGTGAAAAGAAAAATTCTCAGAGCAGGTGTCACAACAACAGGAGTTTTCAGAATTCCTAAAAGTGAAAGCTATTTTTTCAGATAAAGTAGTTGTCCTGGTTTTGGCTGGGATAGCGTTAGTTTTCTTCATAGTAGCTGGCATAGTGCTGTGTTTTGGACTTAGTACTACAGGAATGTTGATAACACACAAATGTTTTTAGTTGTTGCTAAGTAGTGCTCAGACTACTCAAGGACTTTTTGAGCTTCTCCTGCTCGGCCAGGTGCATAACAAGCTGGGAGTACAGCACAGCTAGGACAGCTAACCCAAACTGACCAAAGAGCTATTCCATACCATATAACATCATGCTCGGGGGGGGTTAGTCGGTTAGTCGGGGCGAGAGTGATGGCAGCTTCGGAGGGGCTGAGCATTCGTCAGCGGGTGGTGAGCAATTGCATTGTGCATCACTTGTTTGTATATTCTGTATATTCTCTTACCATTATTATTATTATTACTTTTTTTATTCTTTTCTCTTATTAAACTGTCTCTATCTCAACCCACGGGTCTTTTTTTTTTTTTTTCCCCCCGATTCTCTCCCCCATCCCACTGAGGGAGCTGGGGAGAGTGAATGAGCTGCATGGTGCTTAGTTGCCAGCTGGGTTAAACCACGACAGTAGTCTTACCATCAGAGCAGAGAATTATAAAACAACTTTAAGTTTTCAGAGAGAACAAAAAAATAATTTAATCAAACAAAATAGTATGCTTTCACATACCATATTGAGCACATTCTTCTTTTACCTGGGAACCAGCAGCATCCAGAATTGCTTTGAATACTCCTTAAATTATACCAGAAAAACATATGCGTTAATTAACTCAGTTTAGCTACTTCTACTCAAAACTCTACCCAACTTCTGTACTCTACAAACACCCCAAATTCTCATAGGGCAGGATCCCACAAAGTGAAGGGCAAAACCTTGCCAGTTCCTCCAAGTGCCCTCCATGACATACTGTACAGGCTGCAAAGAGAGCATTGCCTTCATTATTGATTAGAGATTATGAAGAATAACTCCTATTTCATCGTTTCACCAGCCAATAGGATGCCCCTAACTGAACTCTGATTGCTTTCAATTGTATTATGCTGTCCTTCAGGCTTGCAATTCACAACATCACCAAAGAATTACTTGGCTTACAGTGGAACATATTAAGACAAGAACAGTTTTGCAGAATTTATTTGATTGAAAAATTCCCTTTTCTTTGAGCATTTTTGTTTTTAAACAAGAAAAATCTGGTCAGATGCCTTCTGTTTGAGTAGTTTGGAAACTAAATGGAATATTTAGGACATGTGAAAAACCTGTTTAAGATCTGTTTCCTGATTAATCACAACTCACTCACTCTCATCTGAAAAATACTTCATAAAGGTTCCACATATGGACAACTCTTCTTCCCCCCCCCCAAAAAAAAAACCTATCACATATTTATCACTAAAGAGCTACATATTCAATACAATACCTGATGTGGCATCAAATGTTGCATTTGATACGCTCACAATAACTTCTGTATCCTCCTTGGTAATATCTCCACTAAGTATTTGAAGTGTAATAGAACCAATCTGCATTTCATGAACTCCTTCAGTTGAAACGGGACTAGTGAAACCTGAAAGGGAAAGAAAAACACCTCAAAACATTTATCCTCTGGTCTGGAGCATTATTTTCTTCTGTTGATGGAAATTTCAACTTATCCTTTTGAGGAATATGCTCTAGATCAGTTTGATGGACCTAGAGTCTCTGCCTCTCTCTTTACTCCATTTCTGAAAGCAGGAAGGCACAGTACTCTTCCCATTTAAATACTGTGAAAGCGAAACCATTTTTGTTCCTGTAAATTCACACAATATAATCCCAAGAGTCCTTTCTGAATTTATCTGGTCTGACCAGCTCTGTAGCAGAGCTTCCTGAGTTAAAACTTACAAGAAATGGGAGTATCCAGCTTAAGCACTGCCAGTAATGGGGATCCCATCACACCACTTTTGTATGTTATTTCATCTTTACCCTCACAGATATAAAACTGTTCCTTACTTCTAGTCTAAACTTATCTAATTCATATTTTATCTGCACACTCAACTTCATCTCACTGATACTCACAGCGACGGAGAAGAAAGAGCTACATATTCTTATGAACAAGCCTGTGCCATTGATGCAGTCCACTCATATGTTTTTGCCATTGTGTCACACTACTGTCAATTAATAAATGGAAAGGAAATTATCCATTCTGTGTATTGCGATATAGGAGATTAAAGGTACAGAAATACACGTCATTTACGGCTTGTTTGGCAAAGCGATACCATGTTCTTAAACCCTTTGAGTAGGACAAACTAACAGTTCTCCTATCAGGATACCCTCCTCCGTGTGGTAAGACTGGCCTCACTAAGAGATGAGCATGTCCTCAACAAAAATTCCTCTTTAACCTTTTTACAAATGGAGTTTAAGAACGCCAGTCTATTAGGAGGAAAAAAAACAAAAAATGCTCTGCATCTTGATGACATTTCATCTGTTTCCTGATACCTATAAAACCACTTTATAGCATTTACATTCTTCCCTGTATCCCACCTCCTGCCCCTACGCAAACTTACTTGACCATGGCACTGCAGCATTGCAACTTTCAGCTACCCTATGTTTTAGTTCAATGGTAAAAGCCTAAGAAGAGAAAAAAGGTACCAAAGATAGTATTTTAGAGTTTATATACCAAATATTTCTATAATTAACATTAACAGTCATGTAGCTCTTGCTAAACCACCCAACACATTTTACAGTCATGTTTAGGTATCATTAATAACGGTGGGAGCCTCAGTGTGGGCAGTGTGATAATAGATATAGTCTTTGCGTTGCCAGAACTCCTCTGTCAAAAGATAAGCGAGCATTCTACAGGTATTGACAGTGCCAGCAGCAAGGCCAATTTTGTCTGCAGCTTATGCTTGCAGAGAGTTTATATTTCAGAGATGCTGAGTGAGACAGCGGAGAGACATCCTACTGTCACCAGCCTACTGCAGTAAGAAAGTGCTAAATTATTCCCTTAAGAAAGCAGTACAACTAAAATATATTGTTAAGGTGTAACTAGACAAGTATGTAACATAGACGGCTCTCTCCTGAGAGGAACTACCTGAATGTTATCAATATCTTTTGGATTCAAGAAAAAGTGAACTTCCCGAAGAGTCTTCCGAGTGTGACTACTACTGAACTTGAATACCACATCGAACATTAACTTAGAAACAATCGTTTTAGGAAATCCAAATCCTCCAGTTGCAATAGCTGGGAAACTGATTGATTTCAGGCCAAGTTCTTCAGTTTTCTTCAAGCAGGAATCTATTATATCTTCTAGGATCTGTAAAACACAGTAAAGATTTTTTTTTTTTTTAAAAAAAACACAAACAAAAACAAGACATCATTTATATTAATTCCCTAGAGACTGGTATGAGGAAAAGGCTCTCAGTGCATCAAGGCATCTTTAAGGTCACTCAAACAGAAATAAATGGAATTGAGTCACCTAAGCTATTTCAGATCCTGAAACTTCAGAATAGGATCCCAAATAAATCTGTTCTCAAAATCAGTATTTTTTTTTAATAATTAAAATGTACCTTCTGGGCCTGTCCTCTTCCTTCATCCCACATAGGAAGTATGGCATGAAGCACAGAATTGCAGGACAGAGCATATCCTTTGGTGCAGACCACACTCCCTTGACAAGCAACCTGGTTTTGTTTTTCTTTGTCAAACTCTACTTGGAGCTCTGGTCCAGCCTTTTCTAGTAAGGCTCTGCAAAGAGGCCCCACACCAAACTTCAGATCTGTGCCAACACTGTTGACAATAACATCCGTCTGCAAGAAAATTACAATGAGAATATCTATAGCCAGACTTCAAGTGAAAATACGCATCAAGATTAATAGCACTACCAAAGCAACACCCAGCACGAAAACCCAGATGCCAACAGAGAAATAACCTGATTTTGGGCACAGCTTCTGCATACTGAGTATTCCTAGACTTGTAGGAAATCTACAATAGGCAGCATCAAACCCACTGTGAGTACCCACACCACAGATATCTATGTGTCAGCAGGTCTTCCATCCATCCACCCATCCCACACACCCACCCAGGCAGAGCTGTCAAGCCCTCAATGGAGGCGAGGCTGTGACTTGCCTTGTCCTGAGCAGACACCAGTGCCTGGGCAAGTGAAGTAAACCCAACCTCTGCAGTCTGCCTCATCCCCTCTCCCCAGACCCAGCCCTTCCTACATTTCCTTGTGAAGAACTGCTGCAGCATTGCTCCTTCTTCTCTAGCACCATAACAGAATGCAAAATATATGTTCTGTGTAAGGTACACGTAATGTAGAAAGTTTAATGTCCCTTTCCTCCTTTTCACTGAAGTGGGATTATTGACACCTTATCAGAAAAGCAGCACCTTGTTTTGGTGCAGGACGTGAAGGGAAATTGTTGTGCTCTCATGAAGTAAAACAGGCAAAGCCCCAAAGTCAGGTGTTTGCTTTGCTTTTTTTCCACTGGAAATGTTTTAATTATAAAGTATTTTAAATGCATGTCATATTGAGGTGGTTTTTTTACACCTAGCCTTGCTCTTTTATTGGAATAGGCTTTTACAGGCACCAAAATGACAACTGTAGCAACTAATATTGAAACAACAGTAATGATAATTTGGAGATATTTTAAATGCCCAAAGTATAAAAATCAGGGGCTGTTGAAAAAAAGGGAAATTTATAGAGGCACTTTGCATCACTGAAGAAAAAAAATCAAAGTATAAAAATCAGGGGCTGTTGAAAAAAAGAGAAATTTATAAAGAGGCACTTTGCATCACTGAAGAAAAAAAAAAATGGAAAAGAAACTGTCAGAGGTGTAAATTGAGTCTTGATAGTCTAGATGAGTAGTAGTTAAACTCTTCGTTAGCAGAAAGAATGAAAAAAAAATGGGGGGGAAAAAAAAAGTAAGTAGAATCAGGTCTAGACTTCGACAAAACAATCCAAGCATGCACTTTTCTACGGGGTTGCTTTTCTAGAGCCCAGAACTTCTTCACAGAGTGTGTTTTTAATCCATCCAAAGAGAAGGGAACTAAAAAAAATAAGCTACATCCTCCCTGTTAGCATGACTCGCAACAGCAGCCCAGAAAGGTGCTGATTTCCCCCAATATCCAACCTGGATAGCTACAGAACATATAAATACTTTTAGAACGTATTTCCCTTTTAGAAAAAAAAGCAAACTGTTTTACACGTTGACATTAGACCTTGAGAACAAATAAAACCTAGCTGGGGACAAAACATCCTGACATTCACAGTTGCCCACCAGAAATGGCTGCAGAGTGACAGAACCCAACCTGAAATCCATCAGTTTTGTAAGCTTGCATCCTTGTTTAGCTAGCACATAGCCGTTGTTTTCTTGTGTAACAATTGCCTTGTAAAACAATATAACCTACTGTCCTTCCTTTCTTATTTCAAGAAGATTTTCACATCAAGTTAAAGAGGAAGTGGAAAATAAAAGACCTACCGTGGCTTCCTGAATGTTTTTCTCATCTACATAGATGTGAAGTCCTTCACTTGTTGTAACCATTCCTGAGCACGGCATCAGCGTTACTGGGGAGGGTACTTTAACTGCAAACATATTTTTCACTGTGTCTGTCAGAACCTGAACTGTTTCTTCTGCGTCATCCACAAGATGAACCTCCTTCAAGCTGCTATCCCCCACCGATTCTTCCAAGGTCTCCTTGACGGAGGATACAATTGAATACGTACACAGTTCCAGTGGGAAGCCAAAAATCCCTCCACTTATAGCAGGCAGAGCTATGGAACGATGATTGTATGTTTCAGCTAGTTGCAGACTTTTCTTCACTGTCTTTCTCAACAAGCACACACACTTTTCTGCTTCATCCTTCCTCCACCTGGGCCCAACAGCATGAATGACGTTCTTGCAGGGGAGGTTCCCAGCGCCCGTGATAACTGCGCACCCAGGCTGTAAACTCCCGTTCTTCCTCACCAGCTCGTCACACTCCTGTTGCAGCTCTGGACCAGCCACTTTTAACAGCGCCCCAGCAAGGCCACCACTGTGATTTAGGTCTTCATTAGATGCATTTACCACAACATCAACTGGATGAGTGCACAAGTTACCTTTATACACTGCTACTACAACTCCGCCTGGCAGCATTTTCTTGTAGCAGAGCTTTTCTTTGTCTTTATCACCAACATTTTCCCCCTTCTGTTGTTTTTGTTGCTGTTGTTCTTCTCCCAGCCTAATCAAACAGCTAAATTTCTGCTTTGCCTCAACAACATATGAATCATTCCTCTCAGCGAAGAAGTCTTTGGCTCCCGGTTTATCAATTAGCACAATTTTCGAGTAAAGGGATGAGAGAATTTTTTCAAACGTGGCGACTGCTTTTAGCATTTCTGCTCTTGGTCCACTCAGGGAAATACATGGTGTCTTGGTGTCAAAATGTACTGTCACACCTTTCTTCCTCAATTCAAGATAAACATCAGATTTTTCCTTCTCTACAAACTGCACTACCACCGCTGATTTAGCTGGGATTACTTTTTCCATGGGTGTGTTTCTATCTATAAATTGGTTAAGTTTCTGATAAACTTCTGCTACAGCTGTAGAAAAGCCAGCAATAATCACTTTATTTTCTTTTCTAGCAGATTCATCAATGACTACAGTTTCCTGGGAAGAATTGTACTCCTTACGCAAGGAGGCAAGAAGACTCCTCCACTGCTCCTTTTTAAGGACCTCACCATCCTCCACGTCGATGCACTTATATTCTAAGCATGTCTTTATTTGCTTTTCTGCTTCTAAAACATCTTTGGGAACACATCCAAATAGCAACACAGTATCATCCTCAAGCTCATAAAAAGCATTAATTTTTTTCCTAGTGAATAATATCTCTGACATTGTTTTATTATCTACATGCTGTAGATAGCAGAAAACTTGGGGATCAACGGTAATTGATGTACATGGCATGTTCAATACCTTTTCCAGTAAGGCAGCTTTGATTTTATATACTTCCGCAGGTAATCCACACAACTGAACAGTTTTTTTTGTGTCATCATAACAGATCTTTAAGCATGGACATTCTTTGTGAATATTCTCTTCTAGCCCAGAATTGTGTAGAATGGCATACTTCCCTGGGATCACTGACACGGAAATCTCTATGCTTTGTTTTTCCCTTTCACTTTGCTTCATGACTTTTTCCATGCATTCCCTCACTTCTTTCTCTGCACTGTCCACTGCTGCTCTGTTGCCTGCAATCACCACCATATCCTTAGAAATATCAGTTATGATCAAAGCAACATCTTTCACCAATCTGTTTTTCACGTCTTCCCAATCCACTGACGTGACTTTACATTTTATAGCTATGTAGTGTGACATGATACGCGAGAACTCAATAGAAGCATCTTGCTTCCATGTCTTGATCAACTTAATCAGTGGCTTCTTCTGCTCAGAGAGAGATGACGATGGGTACAACATAATTTCTGGGTGCTCACAGTCCATCTGTGGCCATTTTAGCTCGCAATGGCAAATTGCCATTTCCTGGTTTATGTCTTGGATCAATTTAGCCTGCCTTTGTAAAAACTGCCAGACATATGGATCTAGCGGTACCCCAATGGGGTCTGGCATCTTGATAGTTGGTCTTTCTTTTCCATAGAGGACTGTTCCCAGGGAGTGGTAATACGGATGCACAGAAATCGGTGTCTGTTCCATTAAATGCTGCTTTTCCAAGACAGTGTGTAGATCTAAAAGTTAGTGCACACACATACAAACACATATATGCCATTAACTTCAAGTCAAGAAAATTACTCTGTTCTTAGAGCTATTACATTGAATAACCTTTTTTTTTCCCTTCTCATTTGAAAGAGCTATTTTTGCGTCTTTCTGATTTCCAAACTGCTCTGTAGGGGACAAGATAAGAAGCTTGGCTCTAACTAGTTTGGTAAATATGCTTGTGCCTGTATTTTCCTGTGCAGCTACACCTTGCTTTCATTTCCTTGGGAAACCCCACCACAGAGCAGGGCCATATCAAGGTACTACTATGAAATGCTCCTTACTCTCAACTTAAAATAAAACTCTTTGTGCCACTGCACTTCTTTTTTTTTTTTTTTCCATATCAGTTGGAAGGGGGAAAGGAAAGGAATTATAATGTTGGCAGGGACTTAAAACCACGTTGCAATGATCCAAATTACATATTAATGTACAAAATATTCTTAAGCAGATTCTGAGAGTCAGAAGAAAAACAATCACCTGGCAGATATCTTTAATTAAAAGTGAAGTAATTTACTAAGCCAGGAGCCTCCTAACACAGAGATATTTACCAGAGGTTGTGCTGGCACAAAAACAGGACAGTTGATTTGACACAAGGAATAGTAACAAGATTGTTCTTTAGCTCTGTTCTTCCCTGATAATGAACCTATTTGACCTTAATTAGTTTCTGAAAGCTAACTGTGTAAGCTGAGGTCACTGACAGATCCCGCGTCTTCCACCCATAAGTACAATTACTGTTGTATTGCAGATAAAAAACCTTGGTAAATGGGGAAAACACATCAGTGGGAACAACCCACGCACAGAGCAGAACCTTTAGTAACATAAAAAACCAGAGAGATTCTGAAACCCCAGACATGCAGCAGTTATTTCTAAATCCAGAGCACTTCCCAGGAACAGGACAGTGTACACTGGTTTTAGCAAAAGCAAGCCAAGCTTCACCTAATGCCCAGATTGTGGTAATTTTCTTTCAGGTCCTCCGCCTGGGAGCACTTTGGTCAGGCGAAGGACAGCGTTACCTTTGTGATCACAGAAAGTAACGATGGCTGAGTTCTCCTCGGGGAACAGCTGGACGTCTGACACTGGCCCCCCTCCATTCCGTGCATTCTCAAAGTAAATGGTGATGTAGTCTGTGGAAACGCTGTCCGGCAAATTTTCAGCCTTGATGCTCTGGGTCAATTCAAGAACCCTGGCAGTCACTTTGAATTTTTTAACTCTCTTGTTTTGTGAACATTTTTTGACAAATTCTTCAGTATCTGTAAACAGAAGAGCAGTGCAAACTGACCATGTTTTCCTGGGTCATTATCAGCCCTGGCTATCCCTTCTGGCAGAAAAATGAGCCGAGTCTACTTCTCCCTGTATTCGGAGCAAAACAGTCTTTGGTGCCAAGCAACTCTGTGTTTGGGGAGAAGAAAAAAAAAGAAAAAGAAAATGCACACTGCCACGTTACTCTCTGCTATTCACTACTACTATGTCTCTGTTCGCCTCTTATTCATCCCTTGTATAAACTAAGCACTTCTCACTGTTTCACTGCCTTCTCCACTGGAGACTTTCTATACTTCAGTAATTTGCAGAACTCATCTTCACACTCAGACCACTTCTAATTGCCCTCCATCTCACCCAAAATAAGATAGAGACAACGAAACATTCTCATCCAATTTCAGTTAATGAAGATGCCACCGTTTTCTTTTTTCAGTGGATCACAAGCATTTTCATGGAGATGTATATAAGACTTACATCTTTCTTGAGAGACTACAGTCCAGGTACTTTTTTAAAACTGTCTGAGCCTCTAGTGGGAGAGGAGTCAAGCTCTGAAAGCCATTACTCATACACAGACATGGAAATAAACGATGATGTTCACTCTGTCTTACCGATACTTTTTATAAAAGTAGCTACGGCAACATTTATTTCAGGTATCACTTCCACAGTGAAGTCGTCATCTACCACCAGGCCGCTGATGTTCTCCAAGAGCATACATAAGCATTTTGGACTGCATCCTTGTATGTTTTCAAACACCACCGAAGGTGAGGTCTCTGTGGACTTTATTGCAATGTTCTCCGCAGAGCCAGCTTCCTCCTGGTGTTCACTGTTCGGAACAAAACTCTCTGCTTTCTGCAAGGTTTCTTCAACAGAAAGAAAAGTAAGCTGCATGACATATTGGTACACATTTCTGGAATAAACAGATTTTGCTTACCCTTTCTCTTCTTTTCCTTCCCCAGAAAAGAGACCATCTGACCAATCAAATACTGCGGGTTGCCCTGGGACATTTTGCGATCCAAAACAGCGCAGATATGATATTCTGTGGGGCTGCAGGCAGCTTCTTTGGTGGCACAAAAATAGCCATGCATAAACAAGTCCAAGGTCACTGGTTTGTCACCGGGTTGGAGACATAAATAAAATAAAACCCATTGAGATAACTGGCCACAGCTGCTCAGGGGTTGGTAAGGGTTGCGAGAGACACCGCAGCCTCTGCATCTGTTTCTTAGCCCAGGTGCAGGCATAACAAGCCTGAACATCGCTCAGGACATCCGCAGGCACCATAGGCCACCAGTAGCTCTGCAGGACTTGATGCAAAGCCTCCTGATGACCACCGTGCCTTGCCATCAGTGTGGCATAACAGCGCTGAATGACCCATGCACACAGAAGGCTGGTGGGGATGCAATAAAATTTTGCAGATAGAAAACATAACAGGGGTGCGCACCGAGTACCCCAGGAGTCCAGTGGCTGCCAGAGGAAGGCACATCTCCAGCTTTGCAGAAGAGGGTGGAGGCAGGAGAGTACCTCCAAATGGGAACAACATGCTCCTCCATGTGCCCAAGTAAACTGAAAGTGTCACCCAGGTATGTGGTGACAGAACTGCCCAAAAAGCCATGGAGAACGGTGGTCACAGAGCGTTGCAAGGCGGCGGGGGACTGGCACAGGCCAAAGGGCACCCCAGGGTAATCTTGAAGGCTGCATTCACAAAGGCAGCTCTCTCCTCTTTGCCCAACCAACACAAGCAGGGGAGACAACACCCTCTCAGTTTGGTAAACCAGCACACCCCTGCACCATGGAGGGGAGACAAGCACCAAATGAAACCCTAGCACTCACCACCCTCAGCGTAAACCTCCAGGGCCACCACCACTGGCCCCATGGCAGAGGACAGGTACAACTGAAGGGAGAGGAGCTTGGTGGTGCAGTTGTACACCAGACGTGGGCTGCGTGTCTCTGCTTGCTTTTGCTCAGCAACACCCAAGAATCCCTGAATCCTGGGGCAGCACCCAACAGGCCGGCCATGGGGGTAGCCCCAAGGAGAGAGACAGAGATGCAGGGTGGGAAACTGGAGCAGGCAGCAGCACACACAGGCTGGCTCTGCCTGCTCGATGGGTTTACGAGCTCACCTGAGGTACAACAACAACTGATACCAAACCCATAACATCTACAGAAGACAGCTGCTTTTGAAAGCCTACTGACATAAGCCTGACAAGAAGAAAACAAAAGAAATAACTGCAGAAGCTACAGCTCTACAGATGCTAGTTGTTAAATTTCTACATCACCGACAGGAATCATCTGCTCTATTATGTTCAATGAAGAAAGTACACAAAAAGCCCAAACTGAAAGCTAGGCTGACCCAACAAAGCAATTAAAGGCAGCATTTGGAGATTTTCAGGGTCCCCTCTAGTATAACTAAAAAAAAGCAGATGACAACTTTGAGTAACTAATTTTGAAAGGAGGAAAACCATACAAAATGGCACCAAGCAAGACTTCATACAGAAAGGAAAAGATACAGGGGTAATCACTGAAGAACTTCCTGATTAACTGGTCTGTCTTGGGGCTGAGTGGTTCCTCTTCAGGGATGTGGGTGTGCAGCAGTGTTTTCTAGATCGATTTGTGAATCATGAAGCTTAGCAGAACATTGCTGAAAGAGGACCTACCCAAAGTCACTGAGGTACTGGGGAGATGCACCACCTGCCTTAACAGACTCTCCTAACCGTAGGGAGCACAAAGACACCAGGCCTGGGATTAAGACCTTTAATCTAGGTGCTTCTACGTAAATCTTATCTTAGAGCAGTTATGCAGGATAAGGGAACTAAATCCCTCTCTGGAGATGCTCCTCTGCTTAAAAAGGCTATTTTAGAAGCTAAAACCAGGTGCATGGTCTAAGTCTGTCAAGGTGAACCCCATCCTTGATGATCAAGTCTATAGTGTCCCTGGCCAGACATCTTTCCCTGTATCACCTGAGTCAGGCTGCCAAACTCAGAAACGTTCAGCAGAACTCCCCACAGAACTGGAACTGCGTGTGGAGAAAAGCACCAACGTTTTAGTTTTATGAAGATTCAGCACACAGAGCGATGGATAACATTTTACCTTTTGTTTGAAGATTGCTCACGGCATCCAGAGGCTAAAATAAAATGAAAGTAAAATATCAGTGACTGATTTGACACTCTCACCACAATTTCAAAACTCTGGTTAGGACTACAATTTTTATTCACCTTTGTAGGGACTGGTTTTTCTTCACATGCCTCCTCTTCAGCAGCTAGTGCTGTTTCAGGCTCTGTGACAGTCAATTTCAATTCTCCTTTTTCTCCCAAATACAGCTTATGAGACTGTCTCTCAAGAACTCGTTGCTTCACTAAATAAAACAAAAAATAAACTAGTGACAATCTGCACAGAAATACAACTTCAAATTACACAGCACTTTTCCACCATTACATTAGGACACATGTACTGTCCCACAAAATGAAAGACCTTTAAACTCATCATGCTAACACAGCATGCATGAGGCCTTCCTCCTGAAAAGAGACGGAAGAACAGCAGAGGATGTTATTTCTGAAAAAAAAAAAAAAAAAAAAACCCCAAGCCAACAAAACCAAGCCAACCCACTAGAGATGCAAAGCTCAGCTCCACCACACATTTCCTGGCTGGTGTCCAGCAGGAAGCCCCACGCTGCAGCACAAGGACCCCAGTACCAGCCCCACACCTTGCACACCCTCTTCCAGGGCCAAAATGGCTTGGGACTGTATGTCCTGAACTTACCATCTGGGCAAGTCAGCAAGTGGCAAACATGAGAAGACAGAAGAAAAAAAAGCATCTATACATGTGTTTATGCACATACATGTACATGCATGTATATGTATACATTTAAAACAACTGCAGCTAAATGCTGGCCCACCTCGCTGCAAGTTTATATCAATAAGTGCACATTATATATGTCATATTTTTAACATATACCTGTAACTACATATACTAAGTCATATTAACATAAGCTTTATTATTTCAAGCACAATCTCAAGACTTCTACTATGCATCAAAACTAATATATATGTCCATACACCTGGTAGGCTATATTTATTAAGTTACAGCCTAGAGTTATTCAAAATGCAATCTAGAGGCTAGCACTAAGCACTGAAGCATATATATAGGTATATCACATATGGCACATTATGGGATGTATATGATGTATTATATACTATTCGTTTGTCTATTACATACCAGACAGTATATCTTACAGCTCATACAATAATTAAGTCAGTATATATATTTTAACTTGCAGAAAGCTGTGGGTTACAACCGGCAGCAGCTCACTTCCGTGGGGCGCTGGG